AACACTAGCATTAATCATCTATAAATATTAACCCAGACGTCATAGAATTGATTCTCCCACTAAGGCAACCATTACTACTCTTGACGCCTCTCAGCTTATTAATGTAAAGGAAAAACAGTTCAGTTTAGCTTTGCAAACCAACATTAATATCCCTTAGAATGGATGCTCGGGCGAGTTGGGTATTCATATTCTGGGAGAAGCGCTAAGTAGATTCACTCACCCTCAAACTCACACTCGCACTCACACCAGAAAAACGGTCATTCACGTCGCGCTGACTTTCAACTCAAATTGTATTTTCGTCTTCTTTCGTTTTTCTTTTACCCGTTTTAAAATTGTCATCCACTTCGTTCTCTTCTGTACAAAACAATTAGCAATGTTTATCGCACATTACCTTCGAGAATCAAGAAAAAACAATTCTTTTTCCGTTAGCGTTATGGATGGACTGCTAACACAGGTGTCACTTCTTTTTATGATGTGAGCTGCCTCTATTATCTCACGTGTTAACTGATGATGGTTCTTTGCGATTATGGTGCTATTTTCAAAGTCCGCGGCGCACCCACAGTCACGGCAGTGAATGCCCAAAAGTCCTGAGTTAGCTAATCGCGTGTTGTTGTTGTGTTCCCTTAATCTGTCGTTAATACATCTTCCAGTTTGTCCTATGTACTGTTTGCCGCATGATAGGGGAAAGGAATAAATCACTCCTTCTGAGCAAGGTATGTATGGGGTTTTATGCTTTTTAGTGCAGACAGTATTAGTTTTTGGTGTGGCGTTAACTTTTTTACAAAGGCCTGATAGTTTGATGGGGGCGGAAAAGACTACGTCGATGTTTGCGCGATTCCCAATCTTCAGATTATGAGAAATGTTATGAATGTAGGGGATGACTACCGGTCTCTGGTTACTGAATCTTTCGCGGGGCTTGGGGGATGTGATTTGACATTTTTAATCTGTTTGAGGAGACTTTCGGCGACTGAAGTTAATATATGTGAAGGATATCCCGCACTTACTATCCTAGATACTTGTCCTGTGAAGCTTGTTAGGCCTGAATGTCGGCAGGACTTGAAAATAGAGTTTTTGAAGCACTGATTAACTATGCCTCTCTTTACCAGTTTGGAATGCGCCGAATTATAATTGAGGAGCGCTTTTTTCCCTCTTGGCTCATACGACCAACAGACATGACGGGGCTGAAAAGACAATCTTAGGTCCAGAAATCTTAAGGACCGTAGCTCTGGAAGCTCGTGCGTAATCTCCAAAGGGTTTAAGCTAACTCAGGACTTTTGGGCATTCACTGCCGTGACTGTGGGTGCGCCGCGGACTTCGAAAATAGCACCATAATCGCGAAGAACCATCATCAGTGAACACGTGAGATAATAGAGGCAGCTCACATCATAAAAAGAAGTGACACCTGTGTTAGCAGTCCATCCATAACGCTAACGGAAAAAGAATTGTTTTTTCTTGATTCTCGAAGGTAATGTGCGATAAACATTGCTAATTGTTTTGTACAGAAGAGAACGAAGTGGATGACAATTTTAAAACGGGTAAAAGAAAAACGAAAGAAGACGAAAATACAATTTGAGTTGAAAGTCAGCGCGACGTGAATGACCGTTTTTCTGGTGTGAGTGTGAGTGTGAGTTTGAGGGTGAGTGAATCTACTTAGCGCTTCTCCCAGAATATGAATACCCAACTCACCCGAGCATCCATTCTAAGAAGTTTCATTTCTAGTACTTCGGGCCCATTCGCAAGAACATCTTTGAGCTCGTCCTTCCTCACCACCATGATTGCCATCTCCACTTGTCAAGCGAGGACCTACGGTTACTGTCTCCGGGTGAAAATATTACCCCCCGAAGTCAAGGAGCTGTTTGGGGGCTTTACCCCCTCTGTAGGTCACGGGAGGAGAGTATGCAAGATCTTACAATCCGAGTGGCATAGGCAAACAAGACATTACCGTGATTGCCTTCACTTTAAACTCTGTGACAATGCAAGTCCTTCGACGGGAAAAAAGAGATGGCGAGAGATTTCTTACACTACTGAAAGAACGACGGAGATTCTCTGGCGTCTCACCCTAAACCATCTTCGCGCGATCACACCAAAGAAAACCACGAGTCCCTGCAATCTTGTACACATCATCGGAGACGTACAGTTACCGCAACATGTGCAGCACGTTCTCAGTATGGGACCTAAGTTCGCCGTAGAACCCAGAAAATCGGCACCTGAGCTGCTGTCTCTAGTAAGGGAAGTGTCAAGAAGGGCTTCTTTATCTGAGTGTGATAGATGCACTTCAGAGGGCGTAGACATTTTATCACGATATAAACCTTCTGTAAGACATATGCCAATCAAAAAGGTTGAAGATTACTTGAAGGAGAATTCCTTAACCTTAACACCTGCAGACAAAGAAGGCGGTTTTGTTGTCATGCCCAAAGAGGAGTTCGGGGTAAAAGCCCTTTTAGCAATCGAATCTGTGTTCCAACGTCACGACGGCATCTCATTAACAAAAGTAAAATGTGAAGCTAAAAGGCTCCTTCAGGACCTAAATATAAAAGAGCCTTGCCCTTCTTTTGAAAAAAGCAAACACCTTAGCTTAGAAATATTTTTCAGCGCCAAGACGCACAAGGTTGAGTGTCCCTTGCGAGTTATTGTGTCAGAAAGAGACACCTGGCAAAACTCTTTGGCTATATTTTTACAAAAAAGACAATTTATTAACAGTTGATGACCCCTTTTTGGTAAAAAACTCATATGAGGTCATAAGCTTTTTACAAGAACACAGCGCCAACCAATACCAGGCCTTCTCAATTGACATCAAAGACTTATACTATGCTTTACCTCAGGTACGCCTTTTAGAGTGCATTGAAGACAGCATTGACTCGTATGGTGCCATAGCTTTCCAGAATACCTCAGGACTTTCCCAAAGCAACTTTCTTGATTTGCTCAGGTTTTACCTCAGGTCTACCTTCGTGTCTTGGAACGGTAACACATACCTTCAAAAAAATGGAGTCTGCATTGGATCCTGCATAGCGCCAATTCTCAGTGATTTATTCCTAGCACACCACGACAGACTGCTTCAAAATAGCTTAGATTCCTCGACTGTTGTGAAAGTGTTCCGCTACGTTGATGACTATTTGATACTCCTGGACACCAACGAAAAAGACCTCCCGATTCATGTGCCCAATGTGCTCGTCAAGTTTAAAACATGCTTAAACCCTTTGGAGATTACGCACGAGCTTCCAGAGCTAGGATCCTTAAGATTTCTGGACCTAAGATTGTCTTTTCAGCCCCGTCATGTCTGTTGGTCGTACGAGCCAAGAGGGAAAAAACCACTCCTCAATTATAATTCGGCGCATTCCAAACTGGTAAAGAGAGGCATAGTTAATCAGTGCTTCAAAAACTCTATTTTCAAGTCCTGCCGACATTCAGGCCTAACAAGCTTCACAGGATAAGTATCTAGGATAGTAAGTGCGGGATATCCTTCACATATATTAACTTCAGTCGCCGAAAGTCTCCTTAAACAGATTAAAAAAGGTCAAATCACATCCCCCAAGCCCCGCGAAGGATTCAGTAACCAGAGACCGGTAGTCATCCCCTACATTCATAACATTTCTCATAATCTGAAGAAGATTGGGAATTGCGCAAACATCGACGTAGTCTTTTCCGCCCCATCAAACTATCAGGCCTTTGTAAAAAAGTTAACGCCACACCAAAAACTAATACTGTCTACACTAAAAAGCATAAAACCCCATACATACCTTGCTCAGAAGGAGTGATTTATTCCTTTCCCCTATCATGCGGCAAACAGTACATAGGACAAACTGGAAGATGTATTAACGACAGATTAAGGGAACACAACAACAACACGCGATTAGCCAACTCAGGACTTTTGGGCATTCACTGCCGTGACTGTGGGTGCGCCGCGGACTTCGAAAATAGCACCATAATCGCAAAGAACCATCATCAGTTAACACGTGAGATAATAGAAGCAGCTCACATCATAAAAAGAAGTGACACCTGTGTTAGCATTCCATCCATAACGCTAACGGAAAAAGAATTGTTTTTTCTTGATTCTCGAAGGTAATGTGCGATAAACATTGCTAATTGTTTTGTACAGAAGAGAACGAAGTGGATGACAATTTTAAAACGGGTAAAAGAAAAACGAAAGAAGACGAAAATACAATTTGAGTTGAAAGTCAGCGCGACGTGAATGACCGTTTTTCTGGTGTGAGTGTGAGTGTGAGTTTGAGGGTGAGTGAATCTACTTAGCGCTTCTCCCAGAATATTAATATCCCGGCGGCCAAGTCGCGAACGTGTTGGCCATGACTTTCAATAAAAGCAGCACAGTCTACAGGGGATTTTTTGTTTTCAAAAACTATACTAACTTCTTCGCATTGTGATTCAATTATGCCCAGAAAACCTGAGAAAGCAAATGTGATGTGGTTATTGAGGTTGTATAGCTAGGTTTCTTTTCTTCGAAAGAATCAAGAGGAACTACGCTAGAATCGGGACCTAAATTGGCTCATACTGGTTGGTAAGCCATGTAATACGACAGGCCTGCTCTTAAGTACAAATCATATCATGGTCTGAACATTCCCCCGGAGGAAAGCCTTCAGGAACGAGCAAGCTTTTATGGCGCTCCTGAAAATTTTTGGTCAGGTTTTCTTCTTTTACAGCTGGTGTACTTGAGCCTTAATGAGGAATATATAGAGAATCTTTGGTTGTGGACCGAAATCTAGTCGATGTCATTTTGTTTTTCTTGAAATGTCTCTATCGAAGAGGAAGCATCTATGCAACAAAATAAAACAACAAATCCAAAACGCTTACAAACTAAATTGCAAATGACCAGTCATGGTCGTAGTTTAACATACATTTTAATACAAATACGATAACCGATTTAATACAGCAATATGTGTCCAAGCCATTTTTTTTTAAATACCATCAAATCTGAGCACTGCAGTGGTGTACAGGGACACGTGCAAATGTTTTCTTTTGCAAAAGAGAAAAAAATGCATAGTTACTCTTTACTCCGATTGTACGGACAGTGCGCCTTCTGTAATTTATGAATAGCATTGTTTTTTCTGAAGGTCAGGTAAATATCAAGGAAAGGATCATCTGGTGTTACGTTCCCAACCTGCATGAAACACATTAAGGTTCGTTACATTTACTTAAATCTGTTCTCTAACGCTTTTAACAATATTTCTTAAGTCTCCTCATCAAATGTTTGTTTACCCGCGTTGCACAAAAATGACGCTAATTCAGTAAGAAGTGTTGAGCTGGGGTTACACTGGTCATACATCATCCAAAAGACAGTCTGCAAACACGAGTCACCACAATATCCGTAGTTCGAATGCTTCGTATCAAGTTTCCTCCTTGAACTCATTGCTTTGCGGCATTCGAAGCACAGATATCGCGGTGACTCCTGTTCGAATCTGTATGCAGGCTGTCTTTTGTATAATGTATAAGCAGTGTGACTCCGGCTTTAAGCTGCTCTTAAAGGCCGACGTACACTTCGGGTTTTCCACTTTTGCCCGCCACTTCCTTTCCTATATCCTCTCCACTTTATGCCTCGCCGTAACTTGGCTCCCCTCACAGCTTAGGGGGAGGGAGCGCTAAGAGAATTATCTTCCCTGCAGAAAATCGAGGTTGTACGTCGGCCTTTAAATAAATTTATTCCAAGAGCAAAACCCAAATTTGAGGGACAATTCAATTTTGATATAACTATTAAATGTATTGGTATTTATCTATGTGATTAACTACTCAGACACATTGAACACGTGTAAATAAAATTGTACTTCAATATGCTCACGTGTTTATACATGTCTTTTAAGACATCTTCTTGATATATGTCTTCGGGGTAGCCTATTTTAAAAACCACATTTTTGAACTGCAAGCAAACAATAAACATTATTTCTGTGAATCCATCAAATATTTTACAACTGATTTCGAGCAAACTTACCTTATTTATTGCCTCTTCTTTAGTGCCATTGTCCATCCATATCGTATTTTGAATAACAGCTACCTGAGCCTCTCTAACACTTTCGGCAAGTGACTCTACCTGAAAATAGAAGCATATTTCTGACCTGAAAAAAAAATATTTTTGAGGAAATATACGTTTCAAATTTCACACAATAATTGTTCGCTGCACGCAGCTAGAGAATGAAAGTATGATGTTTCCGTTCTAAACTTGCTTGCGTGAAAATCACGATACGAATCAATTTTAGATCATTTGTATCAATTTAGTTTGTAACGGTTCTATTTTTCACGGAGAAAATAAAATAAAATATTGTAGCCTATCAATTTAGAATTTGAAAGTCATGAACACGTTGTTCTATAATGAGCTACTGCTTACCAGTTCACACAATGTCATGATTTTTTTTATCTTGAATATCTGTTGTTTATTTTTTTTTTAACAGAGTTAGTGTAAAGGTGGTCGCATTTTTGCTCGCCGCCGAGATTGGGTTTTGTTTGTAGAACTTGTTTATGCAGAGAGCAAATTCGTCTGCTTCTTGATGCCTCAAAGCAAGCTGCCTCAAGGTCTACCCACAATCCTTTATACAGAAGCAATCCGAGTTCAGCGTTCTGACGTTACCACGACCCCTGCAAGACAAGCAGACGAACTTGCGCTCCGCATAGGTCCCGGTACGTGCTGAACCTACAGTTCGTTCACCACGGACTAGGTTGTATCTTTCCCACGGCCGAAGTCTTCACCTTTAACGAAAGCACCCGGGCATCCGGGCACATAAACCTACACAGCCAGCAGAACACCTGAGTACACTTGTCAATGGGCAGGCCTTTTTGTAAACCTGACGAAGTGCCATAGACGCGGGTCGCGGACGCAAGCCACGCCGGCAAAGACCTCGGATTATGTTGCATCGGTTAGGAAAAGGGGGAAGGGGGGGGGGGGGCGATTTCGGGGGACCCGAGCGCGACAGAGGTTTACGAGTAGACGTAGACATAGTGTTGGGTGAAACACCGGAAGTGTTTTCCGTATTCTTGGAATCCTGTGTGGTCGTTCGCTGCGCTTGCGTTAACAAAATACATCCGTTTGTCTACTCGGCTGTGTCGGCCGAGTTCTCAGTTTATCTTCTTTTTAACGCACCTAAAGCTCGCGCTCTGTTGTGGCGGAAAACGTTTCCTCGTGGGGAACGTTTTGGTGATTCTCGCCTAAATCATCAAGGTCACTTTATTCTTGCCGGCCAGAAACAAACCAGGGCTCTAGAAGGGTTGAACACCGAGCTAGTTGGTAGGAATTCATCCTGCTTAAAGACACGCGAAAGGCGAGGACATTGAATAGAATAAACACGGCAGACAGGTGCTCCCTCGTAACAGGCAGTTTAATCAAACAACAGAGGCCGCATAGAAAAAAAAAAGAGAGAAAAAACTGCCAGTTGCGAGTGAGCGTTTGTCTCTCGTGATCGTTCTCTACTTTCTCCTTGTCGCTTGTGCGCTTTTTAAACAAAATGGAACCAGCGCTCCTGTCTTGATGTTTAGGCTCTGAGCCGTGTACCTGACCTTGGGAGCTGACACTTTGGCCTTCCGGTGATGGTAGTGTTGCTCGCCCGATTGGCCGAGAGTGCGTTTTGGCCTGTATCCAATGGGATTCTAACTAGACCCTGATTGGATAGGAGAAGCCTCGGCGCACTGACATGACTTCTGGCCGGACGGGAGATTGTTGAATATGAAATGCCCCGTATGGGGGCCTTTTTTTCCCGCGGTGTGCCGCGTTACTCCTATCGCACGAGACAGCCCCTGCCTGTCCGGTCCCAAGTTACTTGCCCCTATAAAAATGATTTTTGACTTTTTATTGAAAACGTGTTCACTTATTCTTGACTCTGATTACTTCCTTGTGACTTTGACCTCCTGTTGACATGGTCCACAGAAAGCTTTTTGATTTTGTGTTGAAACTTTTTTGATGATTCTTTTCAACCTGAGTCAAAAGAAAAGCTATTGACTTTCTATTAACTTTACGTTGATCTTTTTTCTGTTAACTTCTTTTTGACAGTGTCATCAGCATGAGTGCATGCGTTCTGTTTACTGAAAATGTTGGAAATGTTGACTTGATTCTCTGTAGCCAGTGTGAATAGAGAAGCTACAAACGTTCTGTTGACTTTTTATTTTACATAGTACACCTCGACTAGATGTCAAAAATCACTAAGTTTCTCAATAGACTCTAACAAGGTGAGAACGGTAGGGAGCAGCTTCAGTTGTCCCACATCCAGCGCGAGCATACTACGCTTGACAACACTTCGGCGTTCGTGTACCTCGAGCGCGCACGTGCAGAAAAAGCACGACAAAAGGCACGGGGCGTGTGCTGGAGGCCAGGCGTTCGAAAGACATGCCCTGCCGTTCTCACTTTGTGGGTGATTCTTGTGACTTTAATGATCATAATAATGTAGTCAACTTGTAAACAAAAGCAAAATAACTATTTTAATGTGGAGAAGCTGCCTTGACTCACATCGTCCTGAGTGGCGTTATGAAGAGAAACGATAACATTTCTTCTAGGAGCCGTTTTTGTGGATTTTGTTTTAGCGACTGCGCCAAAATATTATAAGTTGTACCTATGAGTTTTAGTAAGAGATATCGTCCTCGAACTCCAAAAAACTGTTTTCCCTTTGGCAGGCTCCCGAGAAAAGATCGGATACTTGGAACCTTAATAAGTGCCTAGGGGGTTAGCGGCCATATGATCAGCTTCAGTATGTAGGCTATATAAGGCTCTGGAGCTGTCAACGGGACTGTGATTCAGGTGTTCACTGCTGGTGTTTGTGTTTCTGTTAGTTTCTCATGTGGAGTTGTGGTATGGATGAGTATGTGATTTAAAATACACAAAGGGACACCATTTCCTAAGAAAAACAAAAATATTTGAAATAAAATAAATAGAAAAATTCGAATTTTTTTAAGTTATTTTTTTGCTGCCGATTTTGGAGCAAAGTGGAAAGCCGTAGTAAGCTTCCAAAACTTTGTTTAATGAATAGCTATGCTGTAAAGTTTTTTTTCTTTTACACGGCTGTAGTTTTTTATTTGAAAAGCTACAAAAGAAGCATATTAGAGGTGACAGAAAATCTGTTGACTTTTTTTTTATTAAGAAAGAGACCAATATTCAAAAGAAATTAAAAAGGAAAGCTGGAGAATGTCTAACGCAAGGCTGCGACAGTTTATATGCTCTGGTGACTTTTTCCAACAGCCTTTCAAGAAAAAAAATGCAACTTTTTGTAAGGGTAGCCAACGTCCTCAATGTACGCGGGAGGACCCTTGACGAAAAAGCGTCCGTCTCGTAATTGTTGACTTACGTATACCATACGCGGGAGTTGGTTACATTTACTTTAAATTTCTGCTGTTTTAGGTAATTGCGTTACGTATCAGTGAAGCTCTATTTGATTTATTTATTACTTCATGAGTCTAAACATTTATTAACTCTCTTCTGTCGGCTGCCTAAGAAAACCAAAATCTTCTTCAGCATGTGCAATACCAGCAATCGCCATCCTCATTCACGTTTCCTCCGGTCCACGTCGCTATAGACACGTCGTACGTTTCCGATAAAGATCCAGGGTAAAACAACCTAACATCTAGCTCTGTTAGCTTAAGTGCGAGGTTAATATTACAAAACTATTGACGATTTTTGGTTGTAGGGTACTCACATCTTGTTTCTGCGTTGAATTAAAGTACTTATCCACATACAGCTTTCCCATCCCGTTGCCGATTATGGGGTCATACGGATCGTTTACTGCGCTGATGCAATGTCTCCATCGAGGCTCTGTTTCCTGGAGTCCCCTCCAAACTTTGTTGAAGTTAAAGTTGAGTGTTGTCATATTATGCGAAGCAATCGGACCCAATTTAGACAGAAGTTTCCATCCAAAATAGTTGTTCACTATTACCCTAAGGAAAAAAAAAACAAGATCAATTATTTCTGCGGCGCATATTCACTTACAATTCCGAAGCCCAAACTTTGCCATCTCAAATATGCGGGTTTTGTGTGTTTTTTTTTAATTGCGCCAAATTCAGAGAAGGTTGCTAAATGTCATCCAGATTCAAGCAGAATGTTTATAAGTCATTTGCTCCTTATTAATATTCTAGGCAATACAAAGTTTTAAAAAACCCGGTGCCTCGTAGTGTTTTTTTTTTTAATTTTATTTTAATAATAGCACGAATATTTGTAATTCTGTGCAAACGTTATCGCACAATATTTTTTACATAGCTTAAAAGTGCCTTAGACACTTATACTTCGTGTAATTATTACTCGATAAATTATCGGGCCGACAGGACAACTTGGTTTGAAAAACCGTAAGTAACGACAATTCATTAGGAGATGGGAAAACTTGAGAGGCGGTCGTAACTGTTATGTTAGTTCTTATCTGGCTTAATATTTTATTTACAGCTTGTTATTTTATTCTAAGTTGTCAAAGATAACTGTAAATATTTCGTAGGAAAGCACGTAAGAGATATCCTTAAAAAAATTTCCAGCACAATGATGACGTGAACTAAAGTGGCGAAGCGGGCGAGTTGGTCCATGATATAAAATTTAAAAGTGCTAGCAAAGACAAGGACAAAAAGGAAGGCGAACAGGAAGAGCGCTCGTCCTGTTCGCCTTCCTTTTTTTGTCCTCGTCTTTGTTAGCGCTTTTAAATTTTACACAATGATGACGGCTTCTGTTGAGAGTTAAAACAGCTTGCAAAGCCTTTTTTCTTACCCAGATGTTTCATTCAGCAACTTCATAGCTCCCTTAAGGAATCTTTGATTGAAAGTATTCACTTCCTCTTCTCCGGTTAAGGTGACTGACGCATCTTGGAAGATATCCTTTACAAGCTGAAACCACCCTTCCTGGCAAAACAGAATAACATACCTGTATGCATCCAACTCATACACCAGCTCTCAGCTAGCTATTTATGATGTAAGGCTTACTGATTCTAATTTTCTATCAACGTCTTTCAGCTTCGTGGATGGCTCGGGCTCCTTTTGAGGTGGGCTTGTAGATTCGTCACTTCTCGCCTGGAGCTGAATTATAAGAGCAGGTAATCATCCGGTGAACAGGAAAAATAAAAAAAAACGCCAAAATTGCATCTAACATCTTTAAATGTTATTTTATGATTAATATTACAAAGCCGGACATTAGCTATACTTGAGAAGTTTTGCTTGGAGTATCATGTATGAGTCGATATTTAAAGATACTTTGAGTGTCTAGATTCTATCTCATAGTTTAGAGTAGGTTTAGTCATCTTCAACTGCCGCGATTTTAAAACCAATTAAGCGATTGGTGTTCAGAATATTTGGCCACTTCCGCCCCTGGCAAATTTCGTGATTGACCAAAGGATGTATTCGTAGACATGTACAACCCACCTCCGACAAACTACACTTTATTTCATTGTGTGTGGGCCATCCCAGTGAATGGCCGAACAGTCTTTATATGAGGCGCTACTCATTACCGGCTTGCAGCACTGCAAAAATTAAGTTCGTCTTGGGCATATTGCACTCGTAATATTTTGCGAGCGCCAACAATAGTTTAGAAAGGTGTAGTCGTTAATTTCGAAAGTCGTTGGCCTTAGCTTCAAACTTTGAAGAAGTTTAGTAATATTAGGGTACATTAAAGACGCTTACGTTGGAATATTCTTCTTGTTCAAAAAGAGGCTAGACGCTTTTTATAGCATTTTTCTGACAGTGTGGCTTCACAAAAAAAGGACAGCTTTAAAATAACCAATCTTTAAACATATACATTTGAACACGTGAGCCTGACTTTATGGCTTAAAAGCCGACGACTACTTCGCGCTTTCCACTTTTCACTCTATTCGTCCCCTCCCCTCTTCTACCCTGCCCATCGTTGCCTGTTTCCTCCTCTTCCATTGTGAGGAGGATCGTCTGCCTTGCAGAATCTCAAGTCTGCTCGTCGGCCTTTAAGCGGCACGTTTTTTTCGATTGAGTTGTGTCACCATGATGATATGTCCTCAGTCATAACCTGATGTATGCGGAGGGCAAGTTCGTCTGCTTCTTGCGCAGGGGGTAGCGGTGACGTCAGAACGCCGAGCCATGATTGGCTGATCGCAACCCCCTATCTGAGCGTCGTCTGCTCCTTTGCAACGTCGTCTACTTGCAACGTCGCCTGCGTCTGTCTCACCTTTCCTGCGCCTTTTAAAAGTGCAGAGGCCAGGTTCACGAAACAAATTCGTATTCACGAAACGAAATTATCGTACGTTTTGCGCAGGTTACGACGGAATCCTACGACAGCTCCGCAGCTGTCTTACGCACTTCTTCGATCAAATCAGCATGATCGACAGCGTTGCTCAGTTACTTGGTCGCGACGACCAACGGACGTTTATTTTTGTACGTGCTCTTCTCACGCGTCCCGACTACAAGAAGCAAGAAAAAAAGTAAAAAGTTTTTAAAATAAACCACGACGAACAAGAACGCTGGATCCACAAACACCCGGGAAATGCCCCAAAAACCATGATTCCACTGACCCCGACCAAGCGAGATCGGCAGATAGGCCTAGCAGGCACTCCGACTCGGCTCAGCGCTGCTCCTACGGTCCTTGGCCAAGACCGTCTGCCCACGACCGGCTGGCGTGCTGAATGGAATATGCCCGCGCGACCCTTGTGAACCCTTGTTAACCCTTCCCGTATTATACTTTGGTCGCTGAACTCAATTTTAGATTAAGAGGTCAATCTCTTCCTCTTGTCACCTTTTTGTTTTCCGAGGCAGCGGTGACTCTCGCCGGTGAAAAAGCGGTGAATCTCCGACAGACGCAGGAAAGGGAAAGCAGCCATCGCTTTGACTAAGCAGACGACGTTAACTGCGCCAATCCGCCGACGCCGTTAAAGAGTGAGGAGCCTCACCGCACACGAAAGGAGGGAAAAAGTATTTGGGAGGGAACGTGCGGACACTAACCACCCTCACTCTCGGTTCTTAGCAAACAAACCTCGGCGCCTTGGCACACCTCGCCAGTGAGTCCTTTGACTTCTGTCCTTGATACGCGTCTGCTAGTTGTTAGACAAAAACAACGTACCGCTCGAACTATTTCGTCTGCCCTCTCTGAAAGGTGAAGTCGAGCTCGCTCCTAAAGACCAGCACTTCCGAAAGTTGCAGGAAAGGTAAGACAGACGCGGGCGACGTTGCGAGCAGACGACGTTGCAAAGGAGCAGACGACGCTCAGATAGGGGGTTGCGAGGCGTATAGAACCGTAACGTAGTTTATTTAACTGGGTACATCGAATATCTTTGTGCCTACACCTAAATATTGATATATTTGAGGACACTTTGCTCGCTTTTCAGCTAGATTGATAATATAGTATCGTAAACACTGGTTTATTAAGTTGACTTTATGGTGACCTCACTGCTTTGCGTCCCTATTTTATACAAGATTACTACTACAAGCACGCAGATAGCCGTCATCTTACGCGATTCATAGCAAGCCACCAGCGTGCCCCCTCTATATATTTTTTAATGTTGTTTTATTTCCCAAAAGAAACATGCAGTTTGTTTTTAAAAGAAGAAACATGTAGTTTCTTTTGTTTTGTAAAAAATGCATTGCGCTTTCGCTAGGGTGTAAGAGATAGAAACAAAAGCGCTACGACATGGCGAACAGCATGACCTCATCGGGTCGTGTGACTCAGCAGAACAATATACATTGCAGTTTTACGTGACATATTTCGGGCTCAAAAACGCCCTTGTATCTACTCTAAGATGTAATCTGTGGCTCTGTTTCTTTGCATGGAGGTGGTGTTCTTCTAGCTCCCATCCGGAATAACTGGCGGCAGAAAGAAGCCACTTAAAGTGCTCAGTGGTGATTTCAGAGAAGATCGACCAAACGCTGGCTGGTTGACATTTTTAAATGACCTGATATTTTTATATGCCAATGCATATAATTCTATGTATATGTGTCTAGCATAAACAAATCCACCCTTAGTCTTGACGAGAAAAGAAAATTAGGGACAGGAAAAGTAGTTCAGCGTGAAGAGGTGGATGGTTGCATTAACGCGCAATGATGGAGGGGGCACGTTTGAAATTGAATAACTAAAACGACAACATTAGTAGAATTATTATACTTTTTAGAAGAAAAATATTGATACAGTTTTCTTGTAATATATAGTAATAATATTTTGTTTAAATTATATTTACTTTCCGAAAAATCCCAAATTTGCCTGCTTGGACCACCAATGGCAAAATTTTGAGGCATGCATCTCATGAAACAATTTAATCACCATCATATACTTTGCAGACAGTATTCTACATATATATAGCTATTATTTAATATATATATATATATATATATATATATATATATATATATATATATATATATTAGGTATCTTAGTAATACAAAAGTCGTGATATGTCTAGACAAACATGGAGAAAATATCAAACAACGAAAACTTCAAATGCGAATAACAAAAAAAAAGAAGGAAACACCACCTTCAATTTCTTTTAAATGTGGGTACCTTGTCGTATTCTATTTGGGCATTATTTTATATTAAGATATGTTACAATATTTGATTGATAAAAGAGACATAACTCCCCAAAAGAGGGTCCTTCTTCAAAGCCTACACTTACCAGTGCCCTATGCGAGAAGTGACTCTGAGTTCCAGTTTCATGAAAATAACACACATCTTTTATATATTTTATTCAGACGAGGGCATTGATAGCTATAGAAATGGTTCACACAGTAAAAGTGAGGAGAAACCACTGCATAGAAAGAGGTATCATATTACGGACTAGTGATCCGAAAAAAGATCATGCAGCCATCGACCACTGGGAACTTTGTTTACTTTATTGTCCTATGACACTGTATGCTCTTCTCTCTTCCCCTCTATCTCCATCTCTCTCTCTCTTTCTTATATATATTCTTACCGTATAGCTAGAATACAAACATATGCAAACGTTCCCTATCAGCGTCATAGTGTTCTGTGGCTTGCCAAAAATTTTTTCCTCGCGAAGATCACGATTATGGCGAAATAGCTGACTAAAGTAGCAGACGACACTTCTCGCTGGTCTTGGCAAAACGGCCATTACAATCTTTTTTCGTATTTTCCCGCTCGGTGTCAAAAGATAAAGAAGTCCACTTCAACCAGCAAAATATGGCCGCCGATGCCTGTTTACTGAGCAGTCATTCCTGTCGCTTTCTCACTCGCTGGCCTCACGGGCAATAATATCAGGCACAAAGGGGCACACCGACAGACAGCAGAATCCCCAAATACCCGAGCCCCGCCTAAATACAATAGAGCGTAAACACTATCGCCATGTTAACCTAGGAAAGGTTAACATAGCGACAGTGTTTACGCTCTAGGTAAGGAAAAGCATGGCGTGTTTTATGAGCTGAGAACGTGTCTGCTGCCCCAGAGTACTTCACGAAAGACGAGCTACAATGTTTGCGCCAAGGTCCCGACCAGAAGGACGTGATCTCTGTCATGCTCGGCGGCGAGAAGACGTTCGTGCCAAAGCACTTCATGACATGCTCAATCCGTGAGGCCTTTCGTGTATACAAAGACAAGCGTCCTGATTCCAGCATTATGCCAACGAAATTTTATTCTTGCGCCCTAGATGTGGTGAATGTATTCCACTCCAGTAAGTGTGCGTTTGTGTGCGCTGCGCCAATTATTGCGTTTGCATTGCCCCTCTAGAGAACGTTACAGGCTCAACATTCAACACTGTACGACCCACTAACAGGTATGTGTCTTTAAGTAGACTGTGATCACTGCCCAAAAGATTTCTGTCTTACACTCGAGGAACTTCATATTCGAGAGGATAAATAGATTGTGCTTAGAACATGGGACTCCGGCGCCCTTTAAAGGAAATTGGATCGTGAGACTTTCCTAAAAGTGGTTCAAGTAACGGTTGAAGGTTGGATATCTCACAACCATATCCGACAAACGCAAGGTAACGCGATTTACGATGACCAGCAATGCACGCAACGCGATGCATTGTCTTTCATTTTGACTTTGCTGAAAACTGGAGCGTATCGTGCTTACTGACGAAGTTCAAGCATACCACTGGGAGAAAAAAAAAGTT